ATATTCTTTTTTTTTTTTTTGCGGTACGCGGGCCTCTCACTGCTGTGGCCTCTCCCGTTGCGGAGCACAGGCTCCGGACGCGCAGGCTCAGCGGCCATGGCTCACGGGCCCAGCCGCTCCGCGGCACGTGGGATCTTCCCGGACCGGGGCACGAACCCGTGTCCCCTGCGTCGGCAGTTGGACTCTCAACCACTGCGCCACCAGGGAAGCCCCATCCTGTATTCTTAACTGTGACCTTCGGGTATATTTCGTCTTTATGTAGATTCAGCATCTTTGCTCTTTGTGATTGGGGTATAATTTATAGTGCCTGTCAAGTTTCACAGACAGTAATTATTCAAGAAATATATTTCCACTGTTTGGCAGAAATGCTCACATAACTGTTGTCATGCCTTTGTCAGGTAGTTTAGGTTACAAAGACAGTGTTTTGACAAATGGAGGAACTGTGGCACGATGTAATTATGCATTTAGTGGAAGGTCAGACACCTTCTTTATGTTTGTAGATTTCAGTGTTTTTTCTTTTTTACAAAGATGCTCATATTAAGAGGCTAATATTTTATGGTTACAGTCCCTTCAAATGCTTTGTTTCACATTATACGTATTTGCTATTAGGACTCAGGATTCTGAAGGACAAAAAGCACCTTTGCTTTTGGTCTTCCTCACTATTCATATGCAAATTCCAATCTGTGCCTGCCTGCTAGTGTCTTTCTTTTTTGATAGGCGCCTCTGTGGGAGATGCGTGGAAGGTAGAGAGCACTGGAGTTAGGAAACCTGGGCCCTTGTCCTGTCCACTGGCTCGGGAGCTTTGAGCTAGTTCTGCAGTCAAGGCCTCAAATACCACAACTGCAAAGTAACTAGGAGATGTGGCCAAGTTTCTTTTGCCTCTGACGTTCCACGGTTCTTTCCCTGTGTTTGTAAATTACAGCACTCATTACAGCCTAGTGAGGGTATAAGTGTGGACGAACCAGTTTTTTTTGAAGCTAGATATATGATTAAATGAAGGTACTGATATTTGAGGCTTAATTACAATCAGTTAAAGCAAGGCTTAAGGTGTAGTTTGAGAGTAACTCTTTCTGTAGTTATGGACACACTTGAATTAATATAATTCAGCCGTCTTCTTATTTTTCTACTTCCATGTCTTCCTATACATTTTTTTTTCTCTTAGACAACCGAATAAAGCTGTGTTTTGTTTTTTTTTAAATTTTTATCCTGACCACATCTTGACAAAGAAGTGGACTATATGGGACTATAAAAGGAGCTGGCACATTTTAGAGGGTTTTAAAAGTTAATGTACTGGGACTTCCCTGGTGGTCCAGCGGTTAAGAATCCACCTTCCAATGCAGGGGACGCGGGTTTGATCCCTGGTAGGGATCCCACATGCCACGGGGCAGCTAAGCCCCTGTGCTGCAACTACCGAGCCCGCGTGCTGTAGAGCCTGCATGCCACAACTAGAGAGAACCCCGCACGCCGCAACAAAAGATCCCGCACACTGCGACGAAGATCCCGTGTGCCGCAACAAAGACCCGACACAGCCAAATAAATTAAAAAAAAAAAAAGGTTAAATGTATTGGCCACATCTACACAAATTGGAGTTGTCCTGAAGATTGTTTGCATGAAGAAGCAGCATGCGTTCATCTGGGCTGTGAGGCTGGTTACCCTTTCTACAAATCCCCATCCGAGTCAGACTCATGGTGACTTGTTTGTTTGTTTGTTTTTGAAGAAACCTCACTGAATCAGCTTTGGAAGAATCTGAAAATGAATCAATGGCCAGAACCACATTCTCTGCCATGCCCTGGGTTGCCCACCTGGTTGAGGTTAAATGGAACAAACTGTAGACTGTAGTGTCTTCTGCAGGGAGCAGGGCATCAGCTAGGACATCGCTGAGGCTCCAGGCAAGGGAAGGCCTCAAGTTGTAGAGAGAGCTCATCAGCTTGCTCTCCACCCTGTTTTGATAATGAGTTCCTGTCCTGTTTGGGCTCAGGGTTGATTAGTCAGGGTGAGGAAGGATGCAAAACTTGGTGTCACTGAGAGGGAGACCTGGGAGGGGATTTTAAGTCATTTAGTAAACTTTCTTCTTTCTTATCCCATCCCCAGTACTTTGTCCATTTTTGAAATGATCTTACATTCCACTTCAGGAGAGCTGGGGGTGATAGTTATTCTTTAGGAAAGGATAACTTGTTAGTGCTGGAAGAGATATGCTGGGAAGCTGCATTCTAGAAATGGGTCTTGATTTATAAGGGGGAGCTCTCCTTAACTAGAAATAAGATTATACATTTTAAAATTAGCCAGTGAAAAGAAGTGACCAGGTAATACCAGGAAAATTATTATTTAAGATTCTCAATATGCTCTGTGAACCTAAACTACTGAAATTCTCCATGGAATTCTCCTTCTGGAAGGAAGGGTTGTACTTTATTTGGAAGAAGAAAAGAGTGCAAAATATGCTGTTGTAGGGTGTTTGGTAATGACACGATAGGCTTGTACATCTTCATGCTGGGTTTTTAATTCCTCAGCTTTACTTTTTTCATTTAGTGGCACCTGAGGGAGTTAACAGGATGAGCTCCAGAGGGGTGCCGATTTACTTAAGAACCTTCCATGTTAGAAGCAATAGAAACTGGACAGTTTTGCCAGTAACCTTTGGGAATTACTCTGTTTTGTCTTCCTTCTGGAGGCCCTTACAAGCAGCTGATTCTCTGCTGAAGAAGTGATAGGAAACGGCCAAGGAGCCTGCCTTTTTAAAAAAAATTTTGGCTACGCTGCGCGGCATGTGGGATCTTAGTTCCCTGACCAGGGATCATACCCGTGCCACCTGCATTGGAAGGAGGAATCTTAACCACTGGATCGCCAGGGAAGTCCCAGGGAGCCTGCTTGAACTTGGTGATTATTGGTTGGTAGGAGAGGCCTCGAGGGCAGAACTAAGATCTCTAGGTGGAAATGAAAGAAAAGTGGATTTCAAATCAGTGTAGAGGACGACTTTCCAATAGTCAAGGCTAGCAGAAAGGGAGGCAGAGGTTTTTGTCATTATATTAAAGATATTAAAGACAGATTAGAATGGCCTTTCGGAGGAAATATATTAGGGTAGAGATCAGCAAACTTTTTCTGTAAAGGGTCAGGTAGTGAGTATTTTAGCTTTTTGGGCCATATGGCCTTTGTTGCAGTTACTCAACTCTGCCTTTGTAGCATGAAGGCGACCGAAGACAATATGTAAAATGTGAGCATGGCTGCTGTCTGGCCTGCTGGGCTGCCATGACAAAATACCAAAGACTGGTCGGCTTCAACTACAGAAATTGACTTCTCACAGTGCTGGAAGCTGGGAAGTCCAAGGTGCTGGCTGATTTGGTTTGTGTTGAGGGCCTGCTTCCTGGCTTGTAGATGGCCAGCTTTCTAGTTGTGTTCTCACATGGTTGGGGGCTGAGGGGGTGTGTGGGGAGAGAGAGAGAAAGAAAGAAATTGATCTCTTCCTCTTCTTATAAGGCTACTGTCCTATCAGAATAGGACCCCACCCTTATGAACTCATTTAACCTAATTACCTCCTAAAAATCCCTCTCTCCAGATAGAATCACATTAGGGGTTAGGGCTTCAACATATGAATTTTGGGGGGAATGATACAATTCAGTCCATAGCAGCTGTGTTCCAATAAAATTTTATTTATAAAATAGGAGGTGGTCCAGCTTTGGCCCAAGGGCCATAGTTTGCTAGCCTGTGGTCTAGAGGGAATCAAACACATCGGAAAGTAGACCAGGTGATCTATCAGCATACTTCTAGTTCACCAGTTTTGTGAATCTGTGCTGTTTTGGTCAAAGACTCAGCCAAAGGGCATATTTGATGTCTAGCATAGCTTGACATCATTAAATGTTCTCCTATCTAATAAGATCCTCTCCCCACTGTAAAAATCCTGAGCACCACTAAGATGTGGTTTGGGGGAAATTATTTGGATTGAGTTGGCAGAATTAGAGGTTAAATGTTTTAGAGGTCTCTAGTTTTAGACTGTCTTGGTTCACATCTGCCACTTACTAGCTGTGTGATCTTGGGCAAGTTACTTAATTTCTCTGTCTCAGTTTTCTCACTTATAAAATGATGAGAGCAGTGGAATTTACCTTATAGCAATGGTGTGATGCTTAAATAAGTTAATACTTATTGAGAGCATAAAACAATGCCTGGCTCATAGTAAGATCTTGGTAAATGTTATCTATTATTATTTCTTGAAGTAAGAGATAGTAAGGGAAACCAGAGGGAATATGATTTCGAGTTAAAGGTGAGGTAGCTGTCAAAGATTTAGGGATGTTTTAGAAAGTAAACAGCTTTGGATCAGATTGGAGTGTGTGCTTCTGTTTAAGAGCAATAAAAATGTGGTAAAGGGAATATGAATATTTTTCTAAACAACCTTTAATTCTCCTATCCTAGTATTATCACACGTTTGTACTTGTCCACATCCCATTAGACCCTTAGCTCATGAGGGCAGGGGCCATGTTTATTTACCCTGGTGACTGTTTAAGTCCCATCACTTAGCAAAGAACATGGCACTTAGATGGTTCTCAGTACACATTTCTTGGATAAATAATTACATTTAAAATGCGTCTTTATTTTTTCCACATTGGATAAATTCTAATACACCTAAGTTTATAACTTATTATATGGCTTAAAAACCCTCAGTATTTTTACTTTATAAAAAGGAACAAGCATGTTTGATAAATCAAGACTGATAAATCTTGGAAGATTTATGTTATCTTTTCATTTGTAATTTTCTATTTGTGTCATACTTATAAAGGTTTTGTGATTTATGATTGTAACATTTTTAGAGTAGAAGTATATATAAAAATATAATTTTGGTTATTCTTCTTCAGAATTAAGGATTAAACTCTAAACATTAAAAGAGAATTTTCCCTGAACTTTTGATCAGGATTGCATTTGTGGAGCACTTATAGTTTAGAAGCTGCTTTGGCCTTTTTTTCAGTGAATCCTACATAATATATATGTATTTTTTTCTTTTTCTCTTTATACCTTAGATAATAATATCCAGGAGTGGAATCTTGAAATAGAGTCTTCTTTTGATGTTATCAGTTCAAAGCCAGTTTTGGGTCAAGCGATTATAGCCATCCCTGAATTAAAAATACAACAGACAAACAGCGTTGAACTTTATCATGGGGAAAGGATTGTTAAGCTCTTTGTGAAAATTGACAAGGTGAATGACGGTACTTCCCAAGAAGCACTAAGATGAAAAGCAGTGTTGTTCAAAAGAAATGCTTAGAAAAAAGGACCTGAGTATTAAAGAAAAGTGTACTTTTTCCATTTTTTTCTTTACTTTTTATCTGTTATATATTGTGTGTGTGTGCAAGCTAAGGAATGATTTTCCCAAATTTTAAGATTAAGAAAACGGAGGTTACGTGATTAATTTGGCGTCCTCTCCTCTCAAAAAGTCAGGTGTGTTATATTTTAATTTTTCTGCAGTATTTGCAGTATCCTAAATCCAAAATACATTCTAAGCGTCATACTTAAATGCTGTGATTATTTTTGGTATTTGTAAACTATTTTGAATATTCGTACTTATCCTACACACAGAATTCTGATTCTAAACTTATGATCTTTCGTAAGTAGAAGTGGACTGGATTTTACCTTTTCTTTTTCCTTTTCTTATTCCTCTAATTGACAATGGTGAGCTGAAAAGGATAGAGCAAATCAGCATTCAGTAACTGTTCAGATAAAGTAAGAACTCAAAACGCTTTTCTAGTTCTGGGCTTGAAAGAAGAGTTAACCTCAAAGTCCAATTCTAAATGTTAAGAATGTAGAATGAATGTTAGCTGAGTGTTGCAATGGGAAGAACTGTTTTTCTGAATGCCCATGTTATTTTGTTCTTTCCCTTCCCTTCTGGTATATTAATCCATGCTAAACTCCTAGCATGTTGATTTTTAAATATTATCTATGGATTGGTATAATTTGGCATAATACAAGGAGGGAGATTTATTTTGCTCTGTGCTTGTCTATGAGAAATTGATGTGAGGCTCTGAATTACTATATTATTTTGCTGAAAATATGCTACAGATTACTTAGACTGACATATTATTTTTTAAAAGAGTGTTACTGTAGAAACTTGGTGGCCTCATGGACATGGAAACCAGACTGGATACAACATGACAGTTCTTTTTAAGCTGGATGGAGGCTTAAGTTTTGAAAAATCAGCTAAGGTAAGCAAATACTTTAAGATATTTTGTGGAAAAAAGTATATTTCTTGTTAAAATAGCAATACAGATCTTTGTAGGAAAAGAAGAAATCAACAAAACTGCTGCAACCCCACCACTCAGAGATAATTAGTAGCAATAGTTATATTCATTCAAAAGCTTCTGGTAGGTGTATATTTATATTTTTTAATGGACCAGACTTTGCACATTATTTATAAATATTCTCCTACTGTGTGTTTTTTTTTTTGTGGTACGCGGGCCTCTCACTGTTGTGGCCTCTCCCGTTGCAGAGCACAGGCTCCGGACGCGCAGGCTCAGTGGCCATGGCTCACGGGCCTAGCCGCTCCGTGGCATGTGGGATCTTCCTGGACCGGGGCACGAACCCGTGTCCCCTGCATCAGCAGGTGGACTCTTAACCACAGTGCCACCAGGGAAGCCCTCTCCTACTGTGTTTTAAATTGTCCTTTATATCAAACTAATATATATATATATATATATATATATATATATATATATATAAAATTTTACAACTCAAATATTACTACAAGGTTCATATGAAAAATAGAATCCCTTGTCCCTCCGACCCTTTCTGTTCCTATTTCCTACTCCTCAGAAACAATAATTTTTAACTTTTACTTATATGTTCTGCTCATTACCTTCATTTCTCCAAATAACATGCTTCTACTAGTGTTTTCTAATTTTTCAGTTTTGTATATTATCTATTGACTTCAGACCTAGAGGATGAGAAACCTACATGATTCTGATGACTCCTGCTTGGCCCCCAATGTATACATTTTGCCTCCCTCTACCCTCCCAATGTAGTCATATGGCCATTTTTTGTTAACTCAATATTCAGTTTTTATATTATTATATTATGAAAATACTATTTAAAGCTGAACCACATGGTGTCCTAAAATTATATTTTCTTTCTTGTGCAACTTTCTGTTTTCCTCAGAGTTAATAATTGCCTCATGGTTCTGGTGGCTGTGTTTTCCCTTTTACTTCCTCTAAATCATATACAAACTCTCTAACATACCTTTTAAATTTAGTCACACTCACCTGGTAATCTGTCCACTGTTTATTATTACTATTATTTTTCCTTTAATTTTTGCTATTTTTTGAAACTCTCTCTCCTAGAGCCATTTTCTCATCTCTCTGATCTTGCTTGGTTACTCTCTAGACCTTCTACTTAACTTTTATACTGAAACTTCCTTTTATTATCATTCTAGGAATTCCCATCATCTGACTTCTAGGAGTTCTAGGTATTTCCTTCATCTTTCTCATGGATTAAACACAGAATCCCGTTTCTTTGGACCCATGTTTCTCTCTCTCTTTTGGACTCTCTACTTCTGGTGAAACACTTTCTCCAATAGATTCCTGAGGATGTGTTGTAGATAAAATGTAATTACATTCTAATTTCTGTTTTCTTGTATAGATCTGTTTGTGTTTGCTTCTGGAAGCTTTTAGGAATTCACTATCTTTGATAATCTAGTATTTGAAAATTTGAAAATGAATAGATTTTTGTTGTTGTTGTGATAGTCATCTTGTGGACTCTTCTGATGTAGAAACTCAATCTGGAAATTTTCTTGTATTATATCATTTATCATTCATTATTTTTGTTCTATTTTTCTGGTACAACTATTAATCAGATTGGACCTCCTAGACTGAGAAATATTCTTAGATTTCCCCTTTTATATCCCGTCTTGCCTTCTTATTCTATATTCTGCGAGATTTACTTGATTTTATCTTACATTTTAAAATTAGATATACTTTTGTTACCACTTAAAATTTTTTTTAAAGTTTTTTGTTATTTTATTTAAAAAATTGCATCCTATTTGTATTTCATGGTTATAATGTCTCTCATTTTTCTTAGAATTTTAACTAATATTCTAAATAGTTTTAAAGTTTTATTTGCATTGTTTCTGTTTTCCACATTCCTTTATTCTTCTACTTGTTTCAGTATCTGTCTTTTACTTTAGAGACTTTCCTGGAATGTCAGTTATTCTTGGTGTCAATTCATTCTGAAGATTAAGCACAAAAATGCAGATGAGAAGCCCTGTATGAGCCTCAGTGTTCAGTATTCAGGTGGAAATCCAGCTTTATAATGTGGTGATGCCCACATGTCTGTAGCTATAGATCTTCTCTGTGTGAGTGTGTGTGTGTGTGTGTGTGTGTGTGTGTGTGTGTGTGTGTGTGTATGTATGTGTGTGTGTGTGTGTTTAGCCTTGCCAGTGAGGACATTCTCCAATCTCTAGTCTGGAGAGTATAAGACTAGTTGTTATCATTCAGGGAGTCTAGTGGCAGAAAGGGATTAAAGTTCTGACCATCAAACATAGTTTCATCAGTTCTCCTTCTCACACTGTGCTTTGTGTCCTCAAACCTCTTTGATTCTGAAAGGCAAGATGATAGGTGAGATTCAGGACCCCTCCTCCAATCAATATACTTCAGTTCTGTTTTTGGAATGAGAACTTCTAAGTCACTATACATAAAACTGCATCTTTGGGCTTCCCTGGTGGCGCAGTGGTTGAGAGTCCGCCTGCCGATGCAGGGGACATGGGTTCGTGCCCCGGTCTGGGAAGATCCCACGTGCCACGGAGCAGCTGGGCCCGTGAGCCATGGCCGTTGAGCCTGCGCGTCCGGAGCCTGTGCTCCGCAACGGAGAGGCCACAACAGTGAGAGGCCCACGTACTGCAAAAAAACAAACCAAAAAACAAAAACAACAACTGCATCTTTATGCTACTTTAAACATTCTAAAGTTGAGTTCAGGTTTGGAATTGGAGCTATCTAGAGAAAACAGTGGAGAAAAATAGGCTCTGTCCTTTAATGCTCTCAAAGTACCTTTAGAGAAGGACCAATCCCCCCGTACCCCGAATCTACCAGGAACTGATATTTAAAACAAAATACAGTAAAAATGTTTCCCCCTGAAGATATAACCATCTGTTTTGCCTCTAAATCTATGAACAAGGCTTATGGTAACCTCAGTTAGAGGATACTGAAGGGCACAATTTGACTTCAGTCTAAAGAAATGACTAGGTCCTGCCGAGTTTGGGATACAGCACTAAGGATTGGAAAGAACTGCAGTTTGGCTGCTTATTTAGTCCTTCAAATGCCATTTCTGTGTATGTATAATGGGACAGTAAAGATGAGGTAACTTGAACCTGGCTTATGATAGTGTATAGTAAGTAGAAGCAATATTAATCCCTTTCAGAGATTTCTTCTTTCCCCTTACATCAACCTTTGGTGTTTGCAATTGGCTGTGGTTGTACTCTGGTGTCGACTTCCATTTGGTATTACCTCTTCTGTGGGCCAGACACCATGCTCAGTTTGGAGCTATACCCTTCAGGAGCTCATTTTCTGTTTTTCCTTTGTTTAATTATGCTCTATATTTTCTGAGGCACTGTGAGTGTATGTGTGTCCATAGTATGTACAGGGAGAATGTCCTAGAGCTGTTTACAGAGCCAAGACTTTCCCTCTCATTCTAACTCTCTTGGCAGAAGACGTGTGCTCTCTCACATGTTAAGTTTCTTGTGAGTCATCTTCATGAAAGGGTGAAAAAGAATGAGCCATTCCAACTTATCAAAGAGAAAGAAGAGGAACTTGTGTGTTGTTTTGTTTGTGGGAAACAATTCTGTTTCAATTCAGGCTAATATGGTTGCATTATTGTTTATTACGTATAAAGATGCCACTCTTGGAATTGATCAGCAACAGCAGTGAAGGAAGATGTATTGCTCCACTCCTTGTGTTAATGCATGTCTGTGAAATGCACCCTTTGGCTGTGGCTTTTGTAGAGTTTGTTATTTTTGAAGCTCATTCATTCACTAAATACTTAGGGAGCATCTACTGCGTTTCCACTATTTTGCTAGGCTCTGGTGATAGAGCAGTGAATAAGGCACCCTGTCCATTTCTTTCTGAGATCTTAGTAAAATTAATAATTCAGCTGGGAAATTAAACAATTAAACAAGCAATTGCAATAAAGTGTGATAAGCACTCTAGAGAAATATAGAGCACTGTGTGAGTACGGAGCAGGGGCATCCTGGGAAGATTCCCAGAGAAGGTGATAGCTGTCTCCTGGGGGTTAAGTAGAATTTGACCATGAAATGTAGCAAAGAGGCAGAGGGACAATAGTATGTCAGGCCCAGGGACTCAAAGATGTATTGTGTGTTTGCAGAGGTGAAAGAAATTTCAGTGTGGCTGTGTTTGAGTTTGAAGTGGAACCGGGATGTTGTAAAGGTAGGCTAGGGCAAGATCCCACAGAGCCTAGTAAGCCATGTGAAGGAACTAGACTGTCCTGAGGACAGCGGGGATTCTTTGAAGGGTTTTAAGGAGAGAGCACTGATCATATTTGTTCTACAAAGATTGGGTAGGTCAGATTGGAAGAATGACAGGAGTGGGAGGCCAGTCAGAAGACTATGGTGGTAATTCAGGCACAAGATGATGATTGCTTGGTCTGTGGAACTGCTGAGGGGATAGATTTGAGAGAGATTTTGGAGGTAAAACCACCAGGCTTGTTGATGTGTAGGGATAGGGGAGAAGGATGAGTTAGAAACGATTCTTAATTTTCTGGTTTGGGCCACTGAACAGGTGGCAATTCTGTTCTTTGCGTTGAAGTACTCATAAAGAAGGGCAGGTTTGGGGGATGAGATAGGATGAAAATGATTCCTGTGTTAGACGTGTTTTGTGTGAGTGATTGAGAGATACCCTCAAAATAATATTTGATGAGCATTTCATTATATGGGTCTGGAGTTTAAGAATTAGATCTGGGTTAAAGATATAAATGGGTAAGCCAACAGAATATAGATAATTGTAGCCATGGAAGGGGATGAGCTGTCTCAGGGGTTGCATGAACAGGAGAGCTAGAACAGAACCCCTGGGAATTGTAAGAAAGCCACAGAGGGATCCAAGAAGGAATGGTCAAAGAGGTAGAAGGAGAACCAGTTAGAGTGGGGACTCACAGAGGAAGAGAGTATTTTAAGAAGTGGAGAATGTTCGGAGAGTGTCAAGTGCTG